CAAGGGCCTGCATTGTGGTAAGCTTGTTATACTCCTGTTCAAGAAGATCCAATTTTTCAAGTTGGTTTTGAACATGCGTTTGATCATGTTGTCGTTCTCTTTCTAGGGAAACCTGGGAAACAATATTAAATACAGCATAATAATTTGACAAAAAACTGAAAAACTAACACTGAGAGTACTATGCTACTTGTCTGGCTTTTATTTATTTTTGATTATTCAAAGTTCTTATATTTTTAGTGTACTATTTTATACTTACATATATGTTATTATACTACAAGACTATAAAACACAATCACAGTAGTCTCTGATTTTTGTGGTCTCCACTTGCCTAGTGGAGTGGCTATAAATACTTGTTGGACAAGTGAAAATAATACTTTTAGAAAGGTGTTCCTATGAATAGTTTTTCATTCATGACGTTTCTATCCTAAGTATCTGATCTACAGGTCTTAATCAAAAGTAATCTAAATTCCCTGAAAAAATTAAAAGGAATCTGAGATTCCTTCACCATATAAAACCTTGAAACGTAACCAGGCAAAAAACCCAATAACCTAAAATGAGACTAACCAGCTTTACTTGAGAAAAGGTAGGCTATGACCATGACAATTGTAAAACTGACTTTTACAAGTCAGTCCTTTGAAAAATCAAAAAAATACTAAGTTTCTTCAGACTCACAGACTTAGAAAACAAACTTATGGTCACCAAAGGGGAAAGGTGAGGGGGACAGATTAATTGGGAGTTTGGGATTGACATGTACACACTTCTATATTTAAAATTGATCACCAACAAGGACCTACTGTATAGCATATGAAACTCTGCTAAATATTCTATAATAACCTAAATGGGAAAATAATTTGAAAAAGAATGGATACATGTATATGTATAACTGAATCACTCTGCTGTACACCTGAAACTAACACAACATTGTCAATCAACCACATTCCAATATAAAATAAAAATTAAAAAGTACAAACTTCCAGTTACAAGTAAAATAAGTACTAGGGATGTTGTCTGGCTTTTCATACAACTACTTAGGTACTACAGAGGAATTCCAGGAAAACAATATTAAGATGAAACCAGAGGAAAATTAACAAATACAAGTGAAATCTTGTTCTTATTATATACTATTATAACATTTGGTTCTCTATACTAAGACTTGTTAATACGCTCTGAATGAAGGTATTTACTAGACATATAGGCTACACACAAATAGTTGTAATTAGTCTGGTTCTCTAACATAGTTAATCTCTTAATTAAGGCAATAATCACAGTTTTGGTACGTAACATTTACACTTCTTCTGAATTCTACGCAAAACATCCATCATTTTTTTTTTTTTTTTCAGGCTTAGGGTCAAGGATTTGAAAAGACTGCCACCTATCAGATTTAAGGACTGACAGCCACAGGATAAACCATTAAACTAGGATAAGAAGTGGAAGTATGCTAAACTGAGGTCTACTGGTAAAAACCAAAACATTAAGCACGTGAACTTGTAAACAGTGTATCTTCATATACAAGTCTATAGCAATAGGTATCATACTAACAGAAATTTGAATATGACAAAGTAATACAAACCAATAAATTTCTCAGGAATTTGTGTGAACTGCTAATTTCCTCCTACCTACCTTAGCGGATAGTTACTGCCCTTGAAATAATACATTGAGTTAAATGTTGGCACAAATCACACTTCACTTCCAATATTGGAACCACTCATAAAATGGGCTAATCAAACTTTACTGATGAAAACAGGGCTTAATTCAAAGACATACATATATATATATATATATATATATATATATATTTGTCTAACAACTATATCAATATTAGTCAAGGCATCTCACGGTTGTCTTACAGATGCTTTCTAACCCGAGAACAGAAATATGCCAATGAAGAGAACTGCGTATTACTGTACGTAACGTTTTGCCATTTCCAATCAGATTTAACTCACCATCCCTTTCCCAACCCCATCCATCACATAAAAGTGTCAGAGAAAACACAGAAATAATAATAATTGCATAGCAAGTTTGAAGAAAGGGAACTCTTCAGATGCAAAAAAGATAAATCAAAAGCAAGTAATACTAAAGCCAAATATTACACGAGGCAAGACTATAGCCTTGGTGTATAAGATACACAAGGAACGCGACATAAATTTCAGGCAACGTACCATCTGCACGATGCAGGAGCCCAAAGCCAACAAATTATCATAAATGCAGACCAGAACCAGGGAAACCCATCAAGCCCCAGCAAAGGCAAATCCACAACCATTTCATAAGGCTGCCTACACAACTTAGAAGTATGGAATTCCCAAGATAAACAACTCCAAAGAATAAGAGTTCATCATAAAAATATATATATACGTATACAGTTCTCATAAGAAAAAAAATGATTTTAAGACTGGGAATTTTTATAGTGTTCAAAGAGATAAAATGAAGGAATAAAAAGCAAAGTAATGGTACATTAAAATAACAACAAAAATAGGTGGACTGAAGAGGACCCAACTGGAAACAAAAAAATATGGTCACAAATAAACTCAATGGCATAGTAAAGAGACCTATAATACAAATGAAAATTGCTGAAACATCCTCTTAAATATTGTTGTGCAATCGAATATTTCTTTGATATCTCCAACTATGACTGAAAGCTGAGGTGGAAAGCATTTAACTTCTTTCACACTGCGGAGTACCCAGCAAAATATTAAGCATATAAACATTCAACTTTTGCATAATAAAGTTAAGATGCCCAGAAACTATGGTATTCATGATGAAATCAAATTCTATATTCATAATAGGAAAAGGAGGTATGTTTTAAAAAAATATATTCGAGACTGATATTGCAGATGTCCTCTCGTAAATGCATAGGTTACTTAAATTAAAATACCTCTGGTTTGACAGAGCAAAATATTTTTGTTAAAATAACAACTGTAAAAAAGTCTTTCAAAGTATAAAGAACCTTGAAATGTGCTACCTGAGTTGAGTCTTTAAACAAAATTCAAGAGGCAGAGAGGTACATAATATGCTTATTTATACTTTTGATAATGTACAAAGAAGTTAACATGACCTGAAAAGAAAACACAATTAAATGTGTAGTATTTTTCCAATTTAAGTAAAACTCTACCAAATACAGCAGTAACAATGAAGACCAATCAAATCTTCAGACACCATAACTGATCCCAAGTAATTTCAGTCCTGTGCTGTTGTACTGTTCCAAAGCAGAAGCTGTTAAAGCTGTGTGTAGAGGATATGGCAGTGTGTGTGAGGGTCATCCAAAAAGGAAACTCCTCTATTTAGCTTCGCTGAAAAAACAAACCACATTTTTCTCAAAGCTTCCACTAGCAGTTTTTCAAAATGAACTACTGGTACTATTATCTTTTAAGATGGACGGAGAATTGATTACTTGTAACAGCACCATTAGTCCTCACTGAGAAAAAAGGTCTTTATATCAACTTAATTTTCTCTATAACTAACTTTTCTTGAGAGTGACTCTATGAAGTAACATACCTGTTTCTCTAATACAGATGTCCTCTCCATTTCTGCATGCTTTATCATGTTACGCATGTATTCCAATTGTTTTTCTAAAAGATTACATTTATTTTCTGCAGCTAACAGCTGAGATGTCAGCTCTAAAAAGAATTCATAAGAAAAGCAGAAATCAGCTCACTCGCAGAAGTTTTAGTTTTAAGAACCTGCTTAACATGAATCTACAGTATATATAATAAACATTTTCCAGTAGCTCTAGAAGCCTTTTCAGATGACCTAAGTCATTCTCTTTCTGTATGTTAGTCTAATCTGCCTTGAATTCTGACAGTAAATATAATACAGGACATCAGCACTTGTTCCACAAAATGCTCCCAAATATAAATGTAATTTTGTAGTGCTCGAAGACACTAAGCACTTAGAAAACACTAATGTGGAATTTCTTTTAGAGTGATTTTACCATACTTATTTTGATAGTGTTTCATTTCTTTCATAATTAAACAAACCTTGATTGTGCTTTGATTCCTCATTCTTTGAATTCTCCCTTTCTTGTATCTGTTCATCCAGTACTTTCTTATATTCAATTGTTTCTTTAGACAAGGTTTTCACACTTTCTTCTGCCTGAATCCTTTCAAGTTCTAAACGTCGAATTTTATCTTGAAGGTTCTTCAGAGCAGAAAATATAGCTGCCAAATACAAACATGGATACTATAATACATACGGAAAAAGTTCACTGAAAAAGAATAAACTCATCTAAATAAAAAATAAAATTGATGGAGGATCACTCTTTGGGAATTATCATCACATGGTAATTGTTTAAAAAACTCCATTTAAAGACATCTTTTGAGTCTCTGAAATGTGCTAGGTACTCAAGTAAAAAATGCCATGGTAAAAACATTTCAAAGATTTTATAAAATGGTAAAAATATTTAGCTAATCATACAAAATTCATAAACTGTCCCAAGGCACATTATTAAGTATAAATATTTTGTTTTACTAATAGGATCACATGCAGAATCCAATTATAGAGCTAAAAATAGTCAAGCACATAAAGGACTATTTCTTTTTGATCTCAAAAAAAACCCTAAGCACTCTGCCCCTCAAAAAGCTTTTGATTATAAAATAACACATATTCACTGTAGAAAGCACAGGAAAATACAACAAAGAAGAGAACTGATAATCCTGAGATAATGACTATCAATTTTGGTCATTTCTTTCAGTCTTTTCCTATGTGTATAACATAAATTGAGATCAAAATTGATCTAAGTGTTTTCACTTAGCATTATGGAACTGCGAGCATTCCCTCATGCAATCAGATAGACTTAAAAGATTATTTCCTTGTGACCAATTAGTAATTGAAAAACTAAGTTACTGGATCAAAGAATATTCATATTTTATTTACTTATTTTTATTTTAAACATTTATTTATTTGGCCACAGACGGTCTTAGCTGTGGCACACGGGATCCTCGTTGTGGCATGCAGGATCTTTACTTGTGGCATGCGGGCTCTTAGTTGCGGCATGCGGGATCTAGTTCCCTAGCCAGGGATTGAACCCAGGCCCCCTGCATTGACAGAGCAGAGTCTTAACCATTGGACCACCAGGGAAGTCCCAGAGTATTCATATTTTAAAGACCCTTGAGCAAAGTACCTTCAAAAAGTGTTTTATCAATTTGTACTTTCATCAGAAGTACATGTCTTTGCCAATATAGACCATCACTAATTACAATATCTCTACCATTCTGATTAAGAAACCCATACTACTCTGGTTAGTTTATTTTGCATTTCTATTAAAAGTTTAAATATTTTGTTACATATTGTTGGCCGTCTTTTATGAATTTCTGTGCCCATTTTTCATTAGTCTCCCCATTCCATTTTATTGTCTTTAATTCTAGTTTTGATACAAAGATGTTTTGATTTTTCATAGCTATATCTAACAATCTTTCCCATCAAGTTCTTTGTTAAGAAGTTCTTCTGTAACCTCGATTAGATAAACTTTGTATTTTCCTTTATTATAGTTTCATACACTTTTACATTTAATCCTTTAAGTCAAATAAAAGTCAATACAAACATTTTTGTATTGAAGGAAGAACTTTAAATGGCAACTTTATCATATACCAAGTTCACACATATATCTATACATACAGATATAATTATTACCTACACATACCCAAGACAGTTTCAGGACTTTCTTTTACTCTGGTTTCATTAATATTATGCCAGTATTTTCATTACTAAAACTTTATAATATAAACATCAATTCTGCCAGTCTCCCACAGTATATAAATCTTTAAAACATTTCAAAATTATTCTTACCAATTAAATATTCAGAATCATTTCACCTAAACAATGATTTAAATAAAACTTCATGTAAATTATACAATAAGTAGGAAGAACTACCATCTTTTAAAAATCGAGCTTTCTCACTAAAAACAAGGCACCCATTCCCATGTATTAACCTAATTCATTAATTCAACAAGTTTTTCAGTGCCTAGGATGTGGCAGGCCCCAAATAGGGGAATGATACATTTTATAATATAGCCAGCTTATTCTTGCTGGTATGTAATGAGACTACAATCTAATTAGAAAGAACACAGATATGAAACACTAATACACACACTCAGAAATCTGAAAAACCAACTGAGAAGACTAAGAGAATAGGAAAACAGCTCAGACATAAGACTAGTATTTAAAGGAACAATAATTCTTTGATATACCTGGAATAATCAGATAAAAAATGTAATAGATTTTTTTTGTGTGTGGTACACGGGCCTCTCACTGCTGTGGCCTCTCCCGCTGTGGAGCACAGGCTCCGGACGCATAGGCTCAGTGGCCATGGCTCACGGGCCCAGCCACTCCGCGGCATGTGAGATCTTCCCGGACCAGGGCACGAACCTGTGTCCCCTGCATCGGCAGGCGGACTCTCAACCACTGCGCCACCAGGGAAGCCCCACCCAACATAGGAGCACCTCAATACATAAGGCAAATACTAACAGCCATAAAAGGGGAAATCGACAGTTAACACATTCATAGTAGGGGACTTTAACACCCTACTTTCACCAATGGACAGATCCTCCAAAATGAAAATAAATAAGGAAACACAAGCTTTAAATGATACATTAAACAAGATGGACTTAATTGATATTTATAGGACATTCCATCCAAAAACAACAGAATACACATTTTTCTCAAGTGCTCATGGAACATTCTCCAGGATAGATCACATCTTGGGTCACAAATCAAGCCTTGGTAAATTTAAGAAAACTGAAATCGTATCAAGTATCTTTTCCGACCACAACACTATGAGACTAGATATCAATTACAGAAAAAGATCTGTAAAAAATACAAACACATGGAGGCTAAACAATACACTACTTAATAATGAAGTGATCACTGAAGAAATCAAAGAGGAAATTAAAAAAATACCTAGAAACAAATGACAATGGAGACACGACGACCCAAAATCTATGGGATGCAGCAAAAGCAGTTCTAAGAGGGAAGTTTATAGCAATACAATCCTACCTTAAGAAACAGGAAACATCTCGAATAAACAACCTAATGTTGCACCTAAAGCAATTAGAGAAAGAAAAATAAAAAAAACCCAAAGTTAGCAGAAGGAAATAAATCATAAAAATCAGATTAAAAATAAATGAAAAAGGAATGAAGGAAACGATAGCAGAGATCAATAAAACTAAAAGCTGGTTCTTTGAGAAGATAAACAAAATTGATAAACCATTAGCCAGACTCACCAAGAAAAAAAGGGAGAAGACTCAAATCAATAGAATTAGAAATGAAAAGGGAGAAGTAACAACTAACACTGCAGAAATACAAAAGATCATGAGAGATTACTACAAGCAACTGTATGCCAATAAAATGGACAACCTGGAAGAAATGGACAAATTCTTGGAAAGGTACAACCTGCCAAGACTGAATCAGGAAGAAATAGAAAATATAAACAGACCAATCACAAGCACTGAAATTGAAACTGTGATTAAAAATCTTCCAACAAACAAAAGCCCAGGATCAGATGGCTTCACAGGCAAATTCTATCAAACATTTAGAGAAGAGCTAACACCTATCCTTCTCAAACTCTTCCAAAATATAGCAGAGGGGGGAACACTCCCAAACTCATTCTACGAGGCCACCATCACCTTGATACCAAAACCAGGCAAGGAGGTTACAAAGAAAGAAAACTACAGGCCAATATCACTGATGAACATAGATGCAAAAATCCTCAACAAACTACTAGCAAACAGAATCCAACAGCACATTAAAAGGATCATACACCATGATCAAGTGGGGTTTATTCCAGGAATGCAAGGATTCTTCAATATATGCAAATCAATCAATGTGATAAACCATATTAACATATTGAAGGAGAAAAACCACATGATCATTTCAATAGATGCAGAGAAAGCTTTCGACAAAATTCAACACCTATTTATGATAAAAACCCTGCAGAGGGGCTTCCCTGGTGGTGCAGTGGTTGAGAGTCCGCCTGCCGATGCAGGGGACACAGGTTCATGCCCCAGTCCGGGAACATCCCACATGCCGCAGAGCGGCTGGGCCCGTGTGCCATGGCCGCTGAGCCTGCGCGTCCGGAGCCTGTGCTCCGCAATGGGAGAGGCCACAACAGTGAGAGGCCCGTGTACGACCAAAAAAAAAAAAAAAAAAAAAAAAAACCC